CTTATCAAGGCTGTTAGAAAACATAAAAAATCTGACTGACCCCAAACTTTGAATGGTAGTGTGTATATACATTACATATAAAATGTGTTTGAAAACAATATCTAAAACACAATAAATACAACGCAGTGAATTCACGGTAATTGATAAATATCTTGTCCGTGTACCATATTCTTTTGTTTTACATGGACACTTGTGTCAATAGACTATAATGGAATGTTAGAATGCCTTAGCTTAAGCAGGAACTGAACTCTGACCTTTTAACTGACCCAAGCCTCATGCTGAATGTAAAGCTTGTTTGGCTTGTTGACAGAGCCGCATGCATGCACAAGGCAAAAGCATATACAGTTGCCTGTTTAACTCCTTCTTGGCTTTGGTATGTATGCTATGACGTGGGAGAGACACTTAGTAGTCTCCAGATACTCATCATAAAAAATATCATAAACAAAGCATGTTCATTCTCTGTTTTCCACTGATATATACACTCAATGGATTGCAGAGTATTCACAGACTACAAACCAACCTTTGTTACTACACAAAGACCCAGTGGCAAGACGTGCATCATTCACCTGTCATACACAATGTATATTCCCAGATATACAGCATTCTTAAAGAGGGTACAGACACTGGATGCTTATGTACAATTACATAATTGTTAGATGAGCATACATTCCTCCCAGCATGCAAACATGCAAATATATACAGTTCTTCACAAACAAACGGTGAACAAACATTGTTAAACATAATCACACAACTGGAGGCAAGTAGCTGCCAGCCTGTCTACACATGAAAGCAAAACAGGTGCAGAGGGTCCCTGTGTCTAACAACAATGCCATTTGTCTTATGACTAAAATAACGTTTTCAAATGGTTTTCTTGTCAGCTTACAGTGCTCTTAAAGGAATAGTTCACCCAAAAATGGAAATATGCTGAAAATTTACTTAGGCCATTTAAGAGTCTATTTCTTCATTAGAACAGATTTGGAGAAATTTAGCATTACATCACTTGCTCACCAATGGATCTTCTGCAGTGAATGGGTGCCATCAGAGTCCAACCTGATAATTTAAATATCACAATAATCCACAAGTAATCCACATGACTTCAGTGCATCAATTAATGTCTTGTAATGTGAAAAGCTGCAACAACAAAACAAATTCATCATAAAAACATTTGAGCTAAAATACATGTCCTCTATCCATAATATTGTTTTCTCCAGTGAAAAAGCCATCTCGTCTGAATCAGGAGAGAAATATGCATAGATCAAGCACCATTTGACCAGAAGTGATGTATTAAAGTTAAAACACCTCAACGATGGATATCTTTATTACATGCACATAGTTTTTCGCTTCAAAAGATGTTAATTGATGGACTGGAGTTGAGTTGTGGAATATTGTGATGTTTGTATCAGCTGTTTTGACTCTAGTTTTGACGGCATCCATTCACTGCAGAGGATTCATTGGTGAGCAAGTGATGTAATGCTATATTTTAAAAATCTGTTCCAATTAAAAAACAAACTCTTCAATATCTTGGATGACCTGATTGTCAGTAAATTTTCAACACATTTTTCTGTATTTTATTTTAGTTCCAGAAGCCATTTCACTCAGAGATAAATACATCATAAAAGGGAATAAAAGATGATCACAACTTCTGTTTCATGACAAATTTAAAGGTAAAGTGCTGTTAACAATTTATACTATTTTACTCATTTAACGGACACTGTTTGTATAACCAATGGCAGATGAGAGTAAAAACCTGTTTGAAAAATAGTCATTTTTTGCACTTCTGTTTAGTGATTAAATTGCACATTTCAGTTGTATTTAGTGATTACAGCCATCAGTAAATTATTGCTTAGGGGAAAATAGGCTCTCTGTGTAGTTTTTTCAGCTTTCCACAAAAAAAAAAAATTAAATACATTCTCTCTGTTTTGCTCCAAGCCTATAATAATCCATCTTAATGAGGTGTCAATCAAATGACTATTGTGTGTTTTCCCTCATATTCCTTTCACATATTATTTTGTCAATACATCTCACTGGCTTTGTCTAGCGAACTGTATTCTCTCTCGCTATCAGAAGAAGGTGCAGTAATGAAACGGTCTGTTCTCTCACTAGTCTGTTAATTACTTCTCTATTTATTTAGCGGTTGTGCTGTAGTGATGGGAGGCCCTGGGGATTGTCTGACTCCCATGCTAAATAACCTGCATTCCAATCCCTTGATGCCCAGGCTAATACCATCCTCACTTTCATCTCCACAGCCTGACAAATTAGCACCCATCTGATTCCCCATAGTGAAAAATAAGGGGAGAAAGGGCCGCACAGCATCCTGGAGGAATATTCTGACCACTGAAATATCAGTTATGTATAGATATCTCTGTCGGGAAGAACTTGTTCCTGGAGTTTTGTAAATATAAGTAAATGTTTTAGTCCCAACCCATATTATCTGTAAAACATCTTGTCCATTAAAATTATATATTTTTTTTACATGAAGCAACATCCTCTCTGTGAAAAAAAAAAAAAAACTTTATACAATGCCATTTTCTGTCTTGTTTCAAAATAATCTTAATTATTATTATTATAAATAACAATTATATATATTCCTATTTTAAGCATAATCACAAAATTTTGTTAGATTTATGCTTAAAACAAGATGGAAAATACTGTTATATTATTGAATTCTTAGCTTGATGCTTAAAACAAGAAAAAAAATTATTACAAAATATTTTTATAATATATAAAATTATATAATATATTCTAATATATGAAATATTCTATATAATATTTATTATATATTCTATATATATTTTGTCTCAAATAAATTCATCTTTACTGAATGTTTTTGGATAGTTTTACTTAAAAAAATTTTTTTACTGCTGATTAAGAAAATATGTTTTGCTGTGTGTGCAAAGTTTAGCATGCTAACCCATGCTGTCCCTCATGCTCGCTCAGAGTACAATCACAAAGGCAGTAGGAACGCTAAGGTAAAGAGGCAGAACCCAATATGAATGCAGAAAACTTTTTTTTCTCCTGTTTTTGGATCTGTTTTCCCCTTGCACTTACCATAGTTGCTTAAAGTGTTACATGGCACAAATCTGATCCTAGGTCAGCATTTCATCATCAAACCGCTCCCTGCAGGAGGGCCTCTCACTCTGGCCTTTAGTTGTTGTTAGAGAAATTGCTAGAATCT